CCCGGGAGGTCTCCAGGCCCCCGAGTAAGGTTGTTGGGGCCAGCACAGAGCTGGCCCCAGCCTCCCCTACTGCCCCCAAGGTAACTTGCTGCACGCCAAAGCATGCCTGGCACAGGCTTTCTGAGGGGACAAGTAGCTGTGGTGCAAAGCCAAATGTCCGCACTCGTCTGGATGCAGCCTGTCATTCCATCACAGGGGGATATCCCGGAGTTAAAAAACACCCGCTGAAAAATAAACCAGAGCAGCGCATGCCCAGGCAGTGTGCCCTTGCAGTGCAGAGAAGACCTCAGTGTGTAGTATGTGGTGCTGCAGATGTGTTTGCGGAGCCACAAAAGACACAGCCGTGCTCACCTGGACGCACCTATAGCGTCTTTCAGAGACAGGGATGTGGTGGAAGTTTAGCAGGCTAAGATCAAACCCAGAAGAGATGGAGTCAGTGGGCATGTCTACACATCACCCTTTGGTGATGTAGCAACATACTACATTGCTGTATGGCAAGCTATAGTGCCATAGCAATTGTGTGTGTCTACACGTGATCGCCAGCTATGTTGCCATAGCAGCCCACACGGCACAGTAACAGCCTCGTACTGCACCACGTTTTAGTACTTCCAAAAGGAACGCAGCACTGTAGCAACATAATCATACAGCGACGTGTAGACGTGTGCAGTGTATATAAGGTTGGGACAGGAAAAGGAACAGCAAATTGCATCTGCAGCCTTGTTTGTTTCTCAAGTTCTCAGCCCAGAAGTCATTATTCTCCAGTTCCTTCTAGATATCTGAGTAACAGAAATTCCCAAACATACCTGTCCATCTCCACTCAGCAGGAATGCCATTTTCTCTTTGGAGAGGCAGATGTTGGTAGAGCTTTCTCTACCTCTTTCATTTTTCATAATCTTCACAACACTGGTTTTTCCCCAGGCTCCTTTGCAGGACCTGTTGAGAGGGCTGTGAGAAAATACAAAAAAGTGGAGCTCTTCTAGCGCAGGAAGGTTTTTAATAGCTGTGTGAAGCACTGGGAGCTCCACAGACACACCTGGAAAACTCTGTTCTACAGCAGCTCCTGGGGACTCCCCAGCAACAAGCGGTACAGGTGGCATGAGCTTTGGGAGAGGCAGAATCACAGCGCTGTATCGCTGCTGCCACAGGAAGCCTCAGTGCCCAGCAAAGTGGCAAGAGTGAAGGTTTTAAGAGGGCACAGCTTGGTAACATATTTAAAATAATCTCCCCACCCCAGCCTCTTGCTGAAGTGATATAGACACTTTAATTCCAATCATATCTGTTTTCATTTAATTTGAAAGCTTATTTTTCTGGATGCTGAGTTGGATCCAGCATCCAGTGACAGGTTGTACCCTACTTCAGATGGCTGGAACCTGAAGGCAGACTAGTCAAAGCCCTTCTCCCTCAGTTCAGTGTTGTTTCCCTTCTCCCTAAGCTCATAGAAGATCCTAATGGCACCTACATTTCTGCCAAGACACAGTTGCCCAGTTGAACTTCTTAAGGAGTTGTTAACAGTGCATTGGATATAGTTCATTTTTGCTGCCTTCTGCCCTACTACTTCATCTCAGCAATGGGTCAGTGATCTCTTTATCCAGGAAAAAAAACATCTGGAGAGTGTGCCCACAGGCACTGGATTTTCTAGCCAAAGTAAAGTTTAAATAACTGCAAAAAGCAAACTGTGAAGGAGAAAGAACACACAGCACATTTTACTTTGTAGGTACCATGAATTTGGGGGAGAGGCAGAATTCAAGTTGTACAGTTATTATATAGATTTAAAAATCACTTTGAAATGTATTGGGATTTCCATTCCTTTGAGGGCAAGTATTTCTGGATGTCTATTTACTTAGAACAACAACCTTTGATTCATCTGAGCTCTGGTCCTTCTCCATTGCCCCATTCCAACTCCCCCACTCCACTTCCTTGTGTGGATCTTTTCACATACAGAATCACCTTTCACATATCAAACTTGTTGGAAGAAACACAAACAAGGTCCTGAAATAATTCTACTATGTTCTTAAGTAGAAATCAAGCAAAAACAGAAGCTATTTCAAAAGCATATAGTTGCTGAGTTCAAAATCCCAGGTGCAGCCTCTAATATTTTCTTTAAAAAAATGCGGTGAAGAAAATAATTTCACACATCAGCCTACCTCACCTTTAAAAAAATATTTCCTTCAATTTGCACCTAAATATTTATAAATCTGTTTTCTAAAGTGTCCATCCTGTATTGTGCTCAGATCTCACAGTAATGGGCAAACTAGAATGGGAATCTGACACAAGTCCATGTTCGTGTCTCCCCACACTTGAGGCTACCATCAAAATGCCTTCCCCAGAAGCAGAGTTGCTGCTAGAGTAGGGTAAATGAAATGACAGATGAAGGTTTACTGCATTAGTTTATGAAGGTTGACAAACTCAGGCTTCTGAGTTCCCATTCTTGATGCACCTTCTCAATGCTTGCTCCTGTAGTAAATCCACCCGTTTGAGTTTCAGTTAATTTCAGCACCTGTTTTTCTCTCACATTTAATTTTTTTGTCTGCAAAACACTTTTTAGCAAGAATAATTAGCATTTCAATTCAAGACACCCAGGTAAGTGTTTGCAGAATATGAGTTGCAGCACAGCACGACTACTCGTGACCAATTCCCTGGATTTCAAAGTACGCAAAGGAATAAAATTGCATAAGTGCTTAACTACTTGGCAGGACTGTAGATCACAATACTAAACACATCTGGATTTAAGCTAGTTACACAAATACCTTCTGCCACTGTGTGACAGGATACTGGGGAAGATGGTTTGACCCAGTAAATGGCAATTCTTATGTTCTACAAAGACAAAACAGCAGATATCCAGCCACAATCATTTTTCCCATTACTGAATATCTTAGTTATGTCATGCTGAGAAAGACTGATTTAGGGGCAAAGGAAAGTATTGGATAGGTATTAAAAATAATTTCAGAAGATTTAGATTATGCAAAATATTTTTTGTAAACCACTACAGTCTAGAAATGAAAAGCAAGAGAGTCCTTTCAAGGCTTGCCTTCATTTCTGAAAATGTTTATGCAGAAGCAATGTGTAATTTTGTGAATAGAGACAGGCTGCCTTTCCAATCCTTAAGACAAGTGCAGCTCTGGGAGACAAAGGCACACAAATATCCTTGTTCACTACATGGTAACAGTGATGAATGTGAATGCTATTCTGTTGTCTGCCTCTCATATTCTGTATTTTGGAGCATATACTTACGTTTGTGTTTCAAATTTTCCATTTAGTTTTTTTTGCAGCTGAAGCTTCTTACAGCTGGGGTAAAAACTGGTTCATTCTGTGGTTTCCCCATCCTCCCATATGCTACAACAGCTCCCTAAGAAGCTGACATTGATATTATAGCCTTAGACATTTACCTCCTTTTATTTAAAATTGCAGCAAACTCTAGACCGTTTCAAAAATCATTTTTTATTGCAGCATTATCTACAGCTTTTTTCTCTTGTTAGCTACTCATTCAAAGCAAATTGTGCACACGATACTACTTATTGATATAGAGCACAAAAAAGGTTAAATTGGAGTCTTGGTTGTATATATAAATACTCATGTTCCTACATCTCTAGAAGAATCAACAAGTTTAAATGATGAGTTTATCATAATAATTTCAGTACAATCTTTCCAATTCCATGCATCTTCGGTGCTTGCTATGAGAACTTGTTAAAAATAGTTTCATTTCAGAAGTGCAAAGCAAAAAATAATTGCAACAAGATTTGCAGAGATGATCCCATTTTGGAACTAAAAGCCATTAGTCTAAAAACTGCATTAAACTACTGTAGGTATCTCTTTTTCAGCAGTAAAAATTTTGCCCTGCAAAACACACACACACACACACACACAAAAGAAAAGAAAAAATTAGTCATTTAGCAGTTTGTCTTATTAAGCAGACTTGGGATTTTCAGCAGTCTAAACATATCTAAAGTTAATTAACATGGTGGCCCATGCTGTACAAATTTCCATTTCTGCAGAAAATGTCAGTTTTTGTAACCAATTCTTGACACGCTTTAAGGGAAAATGTAAGTATAAATTTCTTCTGTGAAGTGTAAGGTGAAATGTAAGGTACAATTACTTCTGTGAGCGGTTTTTTGTGTGTAGACTTATACCATTGATATTTACCAACAAAGATTCAGTAGGGCTCACCTGCTATTACTATGGAAACCTAGAAATTGTCTATTTTCATTTATAAATGTAAACTATGTAACTTCTTTAAACTTAATAAAATACTTTTCAGTTAATTAAATATTCCTTAGTTCTGGTTAACAGCTAGCCGCTGCCTTCTCAGAATTTGGATTTCTCTCACACCTGTGTTAAACGTTTGTGCCATTTCAGTTGTTTAAGCCTTGAAGCAATATGCAGTGGGCGAGAAAGCTAAGAGCAGCGTCTGCAGATTTAACAGATGTACTGCTGGGTCAGAAGTCATGTTTTGTAGAACATAGAAATGAACTACAAAGTGGTTTTAAAAGCAGCTATTTTTATCACCTGACATTACACCCATTCCATGTTAGTAGGCATTAAAAACCGGACCCTGAAGATGCTAAGGACATCCCACTCCTGCTGATTTCAGTAGGAACTGTAAGAACATTTCAGCATTTTACAGAACATCTAAGTTCAGGTTCTGGGTTATTGAATCACAAGTTCAAATCCTTCATGTGGACAAGTTAGTCCACCAAAAACATTTCTGAATTCATTACATCGCATCCTACCCTGTTTTTAGCCTTTAAAATGCTCTTAACTTTAAAAAACATCACTGCAAGGGATACTATGTGTTTATCTTATTTAAGGGGAGCTTTACCTGAATTAGCCTCTAAAGAAGCTGATGATGTAGGAGCAGAAATTGTGCAGCGATTCCCAGCAATGTTCTCGTGCCAACTTCATTGCTTCAGTTTCATTTTCGGACGCCTGACTGTGCTGGGTTGGTTTTATAAGAAGCAGGGTAGATGGTCTAGGTTTCCCTGCTTTTTTGATAGAGCTCTTTCCTGGCTGCTTCAGAGAAGCTGATGATTTCTGGACCGATTTCCCCTGATTGTTGGTATCTGGTTGTTGGCTAGGATTCTGAGTTGGCTTCAAGCTGGAAGCTACTTGCTTCATGTGAGCATCTGTGGGAGCCTTTTGGCACATAGCAGGCTTCAGCACTGAGGTGGACAGGCAAGCATTTGGAAGTTTTCTAAGTTCAAGGGCAATCTGGTTCCAATAAGCCTTTGGATTGTTATTGAAAGCACGACAAACTGAAGGCTTGCCAGTGTACTCGCACCAGTATGACTTGCCTTGGTTTCTGCATTCAATTCTGAGTTTAACTTCCTCATCACCACTCACGGTCATT